TGTTCATGGAACAGTGAACAGAGAGGCACTGGGAAGTGAAGGATATCATTAGGTGAATCCATCCATCTGCCCATTCATCATCCATGCACCCGTCAATGCATCTATGAATGTATATTCATTCATGTATGCATCCATGTATTATCCATGGGTTCACTGTCTATTCATGCATCATCCATCTGCTCATGCATGCATACATGTATTCATCCATTATTCATGCTTCCATCTATGCATCCATCCATGTAGCCATGCATGCATCCATACACTCGGGAACAAATCCATCCATGCATTCATCATCCATCCATGCAGCCATGCATGCATCCACCCATATAACAGATTCTTACTCAGTGCCTACAGGTCCCAGACCCTATGCTGAACTCTGCTGTCCTAATTCCAGCGACTCACTGATGAACAATTCCATGTAACTTATGTTCTAAAGGAAAAAAAATTTAAAAATAATCACTATGTTATATGTGGCAGCGGTTCCCAAACTTTTGGCCTCAAATCCTCTTTAAAGTGTTGGAAATCATTGAGGACTCCCAATAATTTTCATTAATGTAAACTATAGCTATTGATATTTACAGTACTGGGAGTTATAACTATGAAATTTTAAAGTACATGAAATTTTAAGATAAAAATGAAATACCTTAAGTTTTAATACAAATGACATGCTAGTGAAAAATACTGCTTTTCCAAGTAAAAACTTTAGAGAAGTATTTTTTTTTTTTCACAGCTCTCTTGGATTTGAAAAAAGAAGAGGGCTGGGTTCTCATATTTGCTTCTACATTCAATATGGGTTAATGCCTTGTTTTGGCTGAAGTATATGATGAAAATCAGTTCTCTCACAGACATATGGTTGAAAGTGGGAGACTTTCAATAGTTGTTTTATTCAGTTGTGGATGTGCTTCACCAGATTTCAACAACTGGCAGCTTCTTAAAGGCCATGTGCAATGTCAAATCTAAAAGTAAAGACTGTTTCACTAAGATTCAGTGGTCAGTCTTGCCTTCTCAATAAACTTTTTACTCATATATCATGTATTGATTATGGGTTCACCAAACTACGCAGATCTTCAACATGACAATGTGTTTGGTTTTACCATCCAATACCCTAAAGTCACATATATTAGCATCGTGCATCACATCATAGAATTCTAAATATTAGAAAGCAGCAGATGAGAATTCTGAAAAATCAAAACATTTGTTCAAAGCCTGCATAGCATTGTTAGCAAAAAATACTGTCAGCTTTCAGAAACCGCGTACAATACTCCCATCTGAATAATCATGACTGGTCTGTCAATGCCCATTTTTGCAAGGACAAATGTATCTATAAAAACAACAGGCAGTTCAGTTGCAAGTCATGCAATTGTACCAGTCCTTTTCTTAGTTGCTAGGACTACTATGATCGATGGCTGAAGGCTTTATGCGTATTCCTCAGAATCATAAAAAGGCAGATACTCAGGGCTCTGGATTTAATAAAGTTAATAATTAGTACATTCATGAACATTCTTTTTTAACTTTTAATCTTGTTTTTAATATTGTTTACATAGTTCAGAGGGATGCATGCTTATGTGGGTCTCTGATTAGGGTGGGGAAGGTCAGGTATGGAAGAAGGTGGGTAGTAAACTTTTTCAGTTGTTTTTCCTCCTGTGCTTGCAATGGAAGAAGAGAAGGAGGTTGCTTCTTTTTGTCAAACTACATCAATGCCCTGGGAATGAGGATAGTCATTTGATGACGCCTTTGAGACACCTGATATGGGGAAGAGTGTCCTGAGAATGTTACTTGAGTGGTTTTGACATATTTGAGACATTATTAACTTCTTTGTACCAGGGTTGAGAAAATCTTTCCAAGGTCTATTGGCTGATGAAGTCCACCTTGGTGCATCTGTAGACCCAGGAACATTCTGCAAAACTTGACCAAGAGAGTTGTCCAACCTGTTCTGCTTTCCATCTGATGACAAGGCAGTTGACACCTTTTCTGGCCTGGATAAGCTGGTTGTGGAATAGGGTTTACATCCAGTGACTTCACTTAGTAGTCCCACAAGAAACCTTATATGGGGTGAGCTCAGACTTGACTACTTTGTGTGCCAGCCAGTGTAGGTTCAGGTTCAGTCTATCACTTGCACCAGCCAACACACATACCAGTGAATGCAGCTGCATGGTCAGTTCCATCCCCAGCCCCATCTCCCATGTGAACTGACAGGTGATGCGGCCTAGCCCAGCCCAGCCAACCACTGGCCTAGTCTTCATGCACACCAGCTTGTGTCATGGCCTAATTGGGATGACCACCAATAATTCCTACCAGGCCTACCCCTAGCCCCATTTTTTGCATGTGCTGGCATGTGCTGATGCCTAGTTTGGTCCTTTCTATATCTTATCTAGTTTTCGTGCACACTCATGGGTGCTGCAGTTTAGCTCAGCCCAATCCAGCCCACCTGGAAAGCCATATCTCATGATTCTTTAGTCTGTTCTCGCCTGTAAGCCCATGCCTAGTATTAAACAGGTTTTCAATACATGTGCTACTGTTTGACTGGCCTGGCCTGGCCCCATCCCTGACTCTCATGCACACCAGTGGGAATTGCAGCCCAGCATGGGAGTGTGGACAGTTCTCCTACCAGACATGTTCCAACCCCAAATCTTATGCCTGCCAGGTCTGTCCAGCCTGACAGACTCACACTCAGTTCTGGAACTTGTTACTAAGTGTGGCAGCCCAACCAAACCTTGTCCACCTCCAGATCCAGTCCAAATGCCAGCTGATAGGTGTTGCATTCTTGACCAGACAGGCCTGCCTTTCAGTTCCAGCTCTGATGCTTACCAGTGGCCCAACGGGGGAGTCTCTGAGGTTTCACTGTCAGGCTTACTTCCAGCCCTTAGTCCTGTGTGTTTTAGTGCGTGCTGCAGCCCAGTCTGATATGGCTTACCACCAGTCCCAGCTATTGCTAGTAGGTAGTCCAGCCTAGCCCACACCAAATCACAGCTCTCATGTGAAATGATGGGTGCACATGGTCCACCTCAGCCTGGTCTGCACCTTGTCCTGACTCTTGTTTGTCCCAGTGTATACTGTAGAATAGCCCAGCCTGGCCCACTTCAAGACACACCCCACATGTATGCCAATGGGTGTTACAGCCCAGCCTCACCTGCCCTGCCCACAGCTGTAGCTTCCGTGCTCACCAGTACGAGCTGTGGCCTAGCAGGGATGTTTTCCAAGTTCCCCTACCAGGCCAATCTTTAGCCCTGAATCCTGCATGCACTGGCAGATGTGATAGCCAGTTTAACATGGCTGGCTTCAGGTCCTAGCACTCACTGGCATAATTGTGGTCTAACTCAATCACTCCAGCTCTCACTGGGTGGGTGCTACAGCCTAGCCCAGACTGATCCATCCAAGACCCAGCTCTCATGTGCCCTGGCAGGTACTGTGGCCTAGCCCAGTCTGTCCCACACCTATTCTGGAGTATTGGTGGGTACTTCAATCTAGCCTGGCATGGTTCTTCCTGAAGGGTGTTACAGCCTAGACCAGTCAGATGTGATCTGCCCTCTGTCCTGGCTCTCATGTATGTCGTAGCCTTGCCTTGCCTGGCCCTCCCCTAACCCCAATTCTTATGCTTATCATAAGAGTTCCTCAAGATCCGCTACCATGCCCGTTCCCAGCACTAGATCTCATGTGTGCCAATGATTATCACAGCCCTGCTTGCCATGGTCTGCTCTTAGTCCCTGCTTTTGTATTTGCCAGTGGGTGCTGCAGCCTGGCCCAGCCTGGCTTCTTCCCAGTCCCAGTTCCTATATGTGCCAGATGAGTTCCATGGTCCAGCCTGGCCTGGACCACCCCCACTCTCACCTCTTGTGCAAACTGCGAGTGCTGCAGTTCCACAGAGGTGAGACCACACGTCCTCTACATAATATGTCCTCAGATCCAGTTCTCTCATGTTCTGGTCAGTGCTGCAGCCTAGCTTCATGTGGCCTACCTTCTGTCCCAATCCTCGCAGGCAGATACCATTGTCTAACCCAACTAGGTATGCATCCCCACCCTCAGCCCCTGCTTCCATGTGTGTTTGTGTGCAGTGGGCAATGCTACTTAGCTCAGCCCAGGTCTCCCACGGATGGATGTCTTGGTCTGACCCAGACATGCCCTCCGGTTCCCTTCCTCTTAACTACTCCATCTCAGTTCCCTCGCCTGCCTGTGAGTGCAGTGGCCCAGTCTGTGGAAGTCCTCAGAAGTCATTCTTCCCCTGTCAAACATGCCTTCAACAGCTTCCACTCCAACACATCCCCAATCCTCTTCCCCAGGCAATGTTTAGCGCCCCCATCTGGGGGCTGGAGTGGTGTGTCCAGGCCTGATGTTTCCTGTCTTCCCCACATGCATTAAAGAAAAAAAAAAAAAAAGACTAGGCAACTATGCTGGCACACTGGTATAGTTAACATAATTTGGCATAATGCCCTTCAGCTGGTGGCTGCTTTTCTCCCAGCAGTGTAACACTTGCCTAGGTAGAGAGCAGCCCAGAGTGTTTCCTACAGCTGAGATCACGAACATTCTTCATTGAAAAAAAAAAAAGAAGAATAGGAAGAAAGAGAAAAGAAATAAAGAAGGAAAGAAAGAAAGGAAGGGTGAGAGGAAGGAAGAACAACCTTATTTTCAATCAGGAGTGTATGGGGAGTATGGGAAGAGTTTGGTGTCATTGGCTTGATTCACATCCAGGTAGGTGACAGCAGATTCCTCATCAGTGCGTCCACATCACCCGAGCAAATGTCAGTGCACAGAAAAAGGGTCCAGATGTGTTACTGTTGCTTCGCAAGCAGTCCTGACGTATTGCCTCTCTGAGTCTGTGAGTTTGCACAGCATGCGCTCTACTGATTTGGCTGCTGATGCACACAATTGAAATGGTGATAAGAGCAGTTTAGAAAGATGTGGTCAGGGTGAGGTATAGGAGAGCAAGGGAGGAGGGTTGCAATTCAAATTGGGTGGTCAAGGAAGTCTTAGGTGACACTGAAGGAGGTGAGGGAGTGAGCCTTGTGCTGACTTGGGGAACAACAGTCAAGGAAGCAAGACCAGCAAGTGCGAAGAGCCTCAGGTAGGAGTATATGTGGGGTCTTCAAGGGGCAATAGCAAGGCCAGTGTGGCTGGACAGACAGGTGGGCACAAAGCGTGGGAGAGAATGAAGTCACAGATGTGACAAGGGCCAGGCTATGTGAGCAGGGCCCTGTAGGTCATTGGAATTGACACAGTGTTTAATTCTGAATTAGCTGGAAGCTCCTTGAAGGGCTTTGAGTGGGGGGTGGCCTGGTGTGCTTCCACAGCAGGAGATACAGCTGACTCGAGGGCCATGGTCAGATTCTGTGCATGTGATGTTGGCACCTGGCATCCAGGAGGTGTTGCAGGGAAAGGCTGTGTGTTTAGCCTAAGGGTTATGCTGTTTGGAGATGACCGTCATCCATATTGGAATGCCTAGGGTTGGTATCTGCCTTGGTTCCCGATCCCAGCTTCCTGATGATGCAGAGTTTGGGATGTAGGAATGACACAGGAGACCTGGATTGAGTTTCTAGATCCCAGCTGGGCCCCTTGCCTCTGTTGCAGGAATTTGGCAAGTGGTGTGGCAAATGGGGAGTGGGGTGCTCTCTGTGCAACTGTCTCTTGCTTTCTGTCTCTCACAATCTGTCCATCAAACGTAAAAGAAGTAGGCTGGATGAAAGAATGGCCTGCTATGGCTCCAGTAACAAGCAGCCCCAGTAACTTAATAGTTCAGCTGAATAAACATTTATCTAGAACTTGTATCACTTGACGGCTGTGTTAGCTGCTCTGGTGGATAAGGTGAGAACAAATTTTCGGGAACGGTGCGACAGTCTAAAAGGGTCACTCTGAAGGTGAGGTGTGGTCTGACTCAGCTAATTATAGCCCTACCTGAATTAGCAAAGTTGACTAAGTTTTGTGCTGAGGGGGCCCGACAAAGGCCATCTTACAAGAAAGCTGCTGCCAGAATTGAGTCATCAGCTTGGGTGCACAAAAATAAATGCATCATCCTTCTTCAGAGATTCATTCCAAGAGAAGGGCTGTGAAACCACGGCCTTTTCACCCCCACAGGACAGTCTATGTCAGAGCTGCTTTGTCCTGGCTAGAAGCGTTCTACTGTGGTTCGGCTTACTGAGGCAGCCAAGAAGCTCAGAGAGAGAGGCTCAGCCCTCAAAGGTCCTTCAACCACCAATTCCACAATCTTTCCACAGGAAAGAGGACATCCCAGTTTCCTAGTTTGCTGGGTCCCACTCCAGGAATCTGTGGAGGTGGGGCCTGGGGTGCCTCTGGCCATTTGTTTGAATGCTTTTTTTTTTTTAAGATTTATTTATTTTTAATTGGAAGGGCAGATCTACATAGAAAAGGAGAGATATCTGTTGGTTCACTCCCCAAATGGCCTCAATGGATGGAACTAACTTGATCTAAACCTAGGAGCCAGGAGCTTCTTGTGGGTCTCCCATGCACATACAGGAGCCCAGGGTTTGGGCCATCCTCCACTGCTTTCTCAGGCTACAAACAGGGAGCTGGCTGGGAAGTGGAACAACTGAGACACAAACTGGCACCCATATGGGATCTTGGAGCTTGGAAGATGAGGATTTAGCCACTCACCCACCACACTGGGCCCTGTTTGAATGCTTTCCGAAGAGAAGAGGCATCTAGACTGAGAGTGAGAACGTGAGCTCGTTCCTGCATTGCCTGTGTTCTAATCACTTGGAACACTCTAGAATGAGCTCTTGGGGGCTGGTGCATCCTTGGGCAGCTACAGGAAGGTCTGAGATGTGGGGAAAGGGACTTCAAAGTCTGAGGCACTGTGTTCCTTTGAGGTGACAACCATGATCTGGCCAGGCTGCCAGGAGCCCTGGTCATCTTCTCCTGTAGCTGCCTGACCTAGAGTCAGCTGACTGCCTGGTTAATAGAGGAAACCTCTCTCAAACAATGAACACTGTCTTTCCTGCATTGAACCTTGAACTCAGTCCCTGCTTTTGAAAAATACTTCCTTTTAAAATCTCCTATCTACCAGGTCCACTTCTGTTGGGTGATTTTTTTTTTTTTTTTTGCGGCACCAGAGCCATTAACTTATAACTACTTCAGGTGGTTGAAGAGGGATCGTGGTTTCCATCTCCCACCTCTAACACACACACACACACACACACACACACCCAGGGGTGGGAATTTCTTCAGGTCTCATCAAGTTTAGGCAGCTTAGGGACACCTCTGGTGTGGCCCAGTTTATGATCTAGCATGATTTATGAAAGCACTAAAATGTCTCACAAAAGACAAATTAATACTCAGACGCCCTTTCAGCGCCTCTTTAAGAAGCAGACTTTGACCTGGGGCCAAGATGTGGGAGGCAGCTTGCTTCCCTTCAATCCCATTGAGTGGGAGCCTTGGGGATCACACTCTACTTTGGCCTGAGGTCCCATAGCCTTCACAACCGGTCCCTTGCTTTCCACTCCAGTTGTGTCTCTGTCTTTGTTTCTCAGTTTTGGTTTGTGTGACTTCATTGTTCCTTAATCTCAAGAACATCATGGGCGCACCCTGGGTAGGAGGGAGAGGGTGAGGGCTTCAAAAGTTTTCACACAGCCTGGGTTGGAGACATATTCTTTTCCTCCTTGCCGGATCTTGCTAATGGTTCCAGAACCTTCTCCCTTGGTGGCATTGTAACTTTATTTTACTGAAACCTCAGAGAGGTGGTTGGGTATTAAAATTAGAACTATCAGCTCTCTCCTTCTCTTTCTCTCTCTTGCTATCAAGTCTCTCTTTCTCCACCAATCAGAAAAGAGAAAATAACAATATTAACCAAGGGGATTTTAGAGAGCTTACAAGGGAAATACTGAGAAAACGAGTACAAGTGAAATGAAGAAAGCTGACTTCCCAAGGTCACTCTGGGCAAAGGCTTTTCCTCAGAGGAATGTCAGTTTGGGATGACGACATGACCTCCCCCCCCCCCCCAAAGTCCAGGAATACATTGGTTTCCACTGGGAACCTATTCTACTTACCAAGAGATAGGGTTAAGAATAGGCCTGTTATCTGCAGAGGAAAAGGTTTATAAAGTTGCTCTTCAAAATGTATTCCTGCCTATAGCTTGCTTTGCCCAGAAGGAGGCATTACCCATCCCTGCCCACACTCAGCCCAGGAAGCTGATTCAGTACATAAGCATTGCTCTGGGTAGATGGAGCTAAACAGGTGTCCAGACCAACTACAACACAGTTTTTATTTGGGAACCTCTGAGTGGAACATCATGATGGTCAAGGTTATTGGTTCAGAAACTTGGCTGTGTTTGTCCACTTTGAAACTCAGCTCCCAATCTTGGAGTTTTCCACTCAACAGATGATTATGATCTTGTGCTCAAAAATGCCTCTTTTGTGCTTCTGTCCTGAAGAAGATATCCCCAAAGTGGTGCATGTTGGGGACAAGTTGTTTTATAGCATAATTTGTTCATGGATAATACTAGAAAACAAATGTCCTCAATGAGTGGCAATGGTTAATGATTATGGCAACTGCTCTTAACAGAATACTCACCAAGTCTATATGGTGCTAAGGAAAATGCTCTCAGGGTCACAGAAAACAAGGAAGATAAAATGTTGATAGCTGGGTCAGGGTGGGGAAAGTTCCTCATCAGTGCAGAGCTGTAAGAAATTATCTATATTTCTATCTATCTATCTATCTATCTATTGAGGTACATTAAGATATATGTCTGATGACGTATCTTAATATATTTCTCTATATATTTCAAAAACTAAAGAGTTGTATAGATTTGGTATTGAAACAGAAAGGACCTGGTGAAAACTTAATTACCACAAATCTTGTTGCTTTCAGGAGGGAGCAAGTGGGTAAGCTTGGTGATTTGAGCCTTGCAGGTCATAGCATAAATACAGTCATCCTTGACCAGAAAGGGCACAGTATACCCAGCAGCAAGGCCTTCTTCTGCATAGACATAAGCAGGTGCCATTTCTGAATAGGACAGAGCTTGGATTGGGTCTATATGAGCTGTGAAGTCTAAACTACTGACATGCTTCCATTTCCAGGAAATACTTAGAAAGGTGATGTTGAGGTAATTCTCCTTACAGCAAGAACAAAAACTCCATCAGGACACAGAATACCCCCAAATCCCCCAGTGTAGTAAAGCCAGAGTACCTGAAGTGTCTCAGCTAAATTAGAATAATCCTCGCCCCTTAGGATAGTAACAAAAGTCCTCTCATGCCAATTCTATCTGCTGGCAGTCCTCTGTGCTGCGCAATTGTGGGGATTGCTCAGAAAATAAGTAAAACTCCAGAGCAGTGGGCTGTCACTGGTCAGGCTGTGGCCTGGTGGGCCCTCTGAGCCGCTCCTGGCATCCCAGCAGGTTCTGTCTGCCTAGCTGTCCACCTGAGTCATCAGGATTTCTCCCTAGTAAGATGAGCTCCTTCCTCCAGCCGCACCTGTCCCAGGGAGCATGCTGGCAGAGATTTTTTTTTTGTTTTCCCAGTCTTCTTACCATGATCACTGGGGAAGAACTGTCCCCCACCCCTAGCCCTAGCTCTCTACTTCGGCCTTGATCACGACATTATGCTTTCAGAGTAGGGCAGGAGCTAAAGAAAAAAAGAATGCTGCTGAATTCTCAAAATATCTGTCCCTTGGCCTTCTGACAAATTTTCATTGACTTTTATTAGCACCTAGTTCAAAACCTGTGCTGTACTGAATAATAGCCATTGGCCACAATTGACTATTTAAACTTCATTTAATAGAACTTAAGATAAAGTTTAAAATTCAGTCTCCAAGCCAAACTAGTCACATTTCAAGTGCTCAACAGTGGTAAGTAGACATACAGAACAGCTTCATCAATGCAGAAAGTTCTCAAAGTTCTATTGTTCTATTGAGTTATATTCCGGCTTCCCAACACATAGAAAATCAAAAGTAGTGAACACTCAGTGGGTGATGACAATAACAGCTTGATGTGGAAGGAGATGGGATGAGTAGGAGGCAAAACATTCCTCATTTTTTTTTTCAATCAGTATCAACTGTTTATGGAGCAATCACTACATGCCAGGCATTGGCTAGCTACTTCAGACCAAATCTCTGCTT